GTGCGTCTCTCTCGGTCTATCTGTCCCTCTCACGCTGCCTGTCAGCAGCGTGAAGTGGATGTAACCCAAAGTGAATATAAGTATAACCCGTAAAAACAAAGTTTTTCACTCTAAATCCTTTATATGCGTGGCGGCTAGAGTCCTCTCGTCCTGTGGCTTGAGATGGCTGCCACCTATGGGTCAGATGATTGTCTGCCAGTATTAAGCAATTGGTAATTAAATATTTAATTAGTTTTCCCTAAACAGTGAAAATTTTTTTCACGAACATTAATTGTCTCGCACAACGAGTCTGTGTGCAAAATGTCAGCTCGATTGGATCACGGGAAGTGGGTTAAAAAACGAGCGAAAGATTTGCACGGTCCTAAGCAAGCAAGCGAACTTAATATAAAGGATTTAAAAATATATTCGCCTGTGGAGGACGCGGGGATCGATCCCGTGACCTTTGGCATGGGAAGCGAGGGCGCTACCAACTGCGCTACTCCGCCACGGCCTGTGGAGCGGTTACGCTCTGGGCTCTTATACTGTGACGTTCAACCAAAGCCAAGAGTGCGTTCTATTTGAATATATGTAAATTAATTTTTTTTTGCCTAAAAAGTGTAACATTTTGGGAATTTTTTTCACGAACATTAATTGTCTCGCACAACGAGTCTGTGTGCAAAATGTCAGCTCGATTGGATCACGGGAAGTGGGTTAAAAAATGACCGAAAGATTTGCACGGTCATAAGCAAGAAAGCACGCAAGCAAGCACGCAAGCAAGCACGCAAGCAAGCGAACTTAATATGAAGGATTTAAAAAGACGGATTCCAGAAGTCGTCTCAAAGAGTCTTATTACGCTAGGATGGTCTGGGCTAGAGGGGTGTAGTAGGAGCTAACGGGGAAATGTCAGCCTCGGATAGAACCGGGCGAAGGGGCCGTTACCCCTTCGAGTCTAAGAGTCGTTACTCTACTTACGCCGTTACATTAGTAGCGCTTGGAAAACTACAAAATCTCACGTGCCATGAAGAAGAGCCGTTGCTCGAAACGTCGCCTCCCACCCCCCCCCCCCCCCCCCCACTGTGAAGGGCACACAAAGATAAAGGTCCCCCGTATAGCCTTAGCAGACTGTTGGGGCAAGTGCTGTTCGCTAGCAGCAAGCAGCAGCAGCAGCGCCTATAAAGGCCGGCACGGCACACGAGGGGGTGGGTGGTCAGCACCACGCCCGGCCGCCTTTGTCTCCCCAGTGGCGATGTTCACTGCACACCGCACCAGGTACTCATTTGAGGCTGAGTCGACCTAGGGGAGGCCCAGGACCCATAGTTGCCCCGTATTCTCGTCCGGGGAAATTAAGTTAGAGTCTGTTTGTGTGAGTGTAGTGGTGAGTGTAGTGGTGAGTATAGTAGTGGTGAGTGTACTGGTGGTGAGTGTAGTGGTGGTGAGTGTAGTGGTGAGTATAGTAGTGGTGAGTGTAGTGGTGAGTGTACTAGTGGTGAGTGTAGTGGTGAGTGTAGTAGTGGTGAGTGTAGTGGTGAGTGTAGTAGTGGTGAGTGTACTAGTGGTGAGTGTAGTGGTGGTGAGTGTAGTAGTGGTGAGTGTAGTGGTGAGTATAGTAGTGGTGAGTGTACTGGTGGTGAGTGTAGTAGTGGTGAGTGTAGTGGTGAGTATAGTAGTGGTGAGTGTACTGGTGGTGAGTGTAGTGGTGGTGAGTGTAGTGGTGAGTATAGTAGTGGTGAGTGTAGTGGTGAGTGTAGTGGTGAGTGTAGTGGTGAGTATAGTGGTGAGTGTAGTGGTGAGTATAGTGGTGAGTGTAGTAGTGGTGAGTGTACTAGTGGTGAGTGTAGTGGTGAGTGTAGTGGTGAGTGTAGTAGTGGTGAGTGTAGTGGTGAGTATAGTGGTGAGTGTACTAGTGGTGAGTGTACTAGTGGTGAGTGTAGTAGTGGTGAGTGTAGTGGTGAGTCTACTAGTGGTGAGTGTAGTGGTGAGTGTAGTGGTGAGTGTACTAGTGGTGAGTGTACTAGTGGTGAGTGTAGTGGTGAGTATAGTGGTGAGTGTACTAGTGGTGAGTGTAGTGGTGAGTGTACTAGTGGTGAGTGTACTAGTGGTGAGTGTAGTGGTGAGTGTAGTAGTGGTGAGTGTAGTGGTGAGTGTACTAGTGGTGAGTGTAGTGGTGAGTGTAGTGGTGAGTATAGTGGTGAGTGTAGTGGTGAGTATAGTGGTGAGTGTACTAGTGGTGAGTGTACTAGTGGTGAGTGTAGTGGTGAGTGTACTAGTGGTGAGTGTACTAGTGGTGAGTGTAGTGGTGAGTGTAGTAGTGGTGAGTGTAGTGGTGAGTGTACTAGTGGTGAGTGTAGTGGTGAGTGTAGTGGTGAGTATAGTGGTGAGTGTACTAGTGGTGAGTGTACTAGTGGTGAGTGTAGTGGTGAGTGTACTAGTGGTGAGTGTACTAGTGGTGAGTGTAGTGGTGAGTGTAGTAGTGGTGAGTGTAGTGGTGAGTGTACTAGTGGTGAGTGTAGTGGTGAGTGTACTAGTGGTGAGTGTAGTGGTGAGTGTAGTGGTGAGTGTACTAGTGGTGAGTGTAGTGGTGAGTGTAGTAGTGGTGAGTGTAGTGGTGAGTGTACTAGTGGTGAGTATAGTGGTGAGTGTAGTAGTGGTGAGTGTACTAGTGGTGAGTGTAGTGGTGAGTGTAGTGGTGAGTGTAGTAGTGGTGAGTGTAGTGGTGAGTGTAGTGAGTGTACTAGTGGTGAGTGTACTAGTGGTGAGTGTGGTGGTGGTGAGTGTACTAGTGGTGAGTGTACTAGTGGTGAGTGTAGTGGTGAGTGTAGTGGTGAGTCTACTAGTGGTGAGTGTACTAGTGGTGAGTGTACTAGTGGTGAGTGTAGTAGTGGTGAGTGTAGTGGTGAGTCTACTAGTGGTGAGTGTAGTGGTGAGTGTACTAGTGGTGAGTGTACTAGTGGTGAGTGTACTAGTGGTGAGTGTAGTGGTGAGTGTAGTGGTGAGTCTACTAGTGGTGAGTGTAGTGGTGAGTGTAGTGGTGAGTGTACTAGTGGTGAGTGTACTAGTGGTGAGTGTAGTGGTGAGTGTAGTGGTGAGTGTAGTGGTGAGTCTACTAGTGGTGAGTGTAGTGGTGAGTGTAGTGGTGAGTGTACTAGTGGTGAGTGTACTAGTGGTGAGTGTAGTGGTGAGTGTAGTGGTGAGTCTACTAGTGGTGAGTGTACTAGTGGTGAGTGTACTAGTGGTGAGTGTAGTAGTGGTGAGTGTAGTGGTGAGTCTACTAGTGGTGAGTGTACTAGTGGTGAGTGTACTAGTGGTGAGTGTAGTAGTGGTGAGTGTAGTGGTGAGTGTACTAGTGGTGAGTGTACTAGTGGTGAGTGTACTAGTGGTGAGTGTAGTGGTGAGTGTAGTGGTGAGTGTACTAGTGGTGAGTGTACTAGTGGTGAGTGTAGTGGTGAGTGTACTAGTGGTGAGTGTACTAGTGGTGAGTGTAGTGGTGAGTGTAGTGGTGAGTCTACTAGTGGTGAGTGTACTAGTGGTGAGTGTACTAGTGGTGAGTGTAGTGGTGAGTGTAGTGGTGAGTGTAGTGGTGAGTCTACTAGTGGTGAGTGTAGTGGTGAGTGTAGTGGTGAGTGTACTAGTGGTGAGTGTACTAGTGGTGAGTGTAGTGGTGAGTGTAGTGGTGAGTGTACTAGTGGTGAGTGTACTAGTGGTGAGTGTAGTAGTGGTGAGTGTAGTGGTGAGTCTACTAGTGGTGAGTGTACTAGTGGTGAGTGTACTAGTGGTGAGTGTAGTAGTGGTGAGTGTAGTGGTGAGTGTACTAGTGGTGAGTGTACTAGTGGTGAGTGTACTAGTGGTGAGTGTAGTGGTGAGTGTAGTGGTGAGTGTACTAGTGGTGAGTGTACTAGTGGTGAGTGTAGTGGTGAGTGTACTAGTGGTGAGTGTACTAGTGGTGAGTGTAGTGGTGAGTGTAGTGGTGAGTCTACTAGTGGTGAGTGTACTAGTGGTGAGTGTACTAGTGGTGAATGTAGTGGTGAGTGTAGTAGTGGTGAGTGTACTAGTGGTGAGTGTAGTGGTGAGTGTTGCTGTTGTTGTTGTTATTGTTGTTGTTGCTGTTGTTGCTGTTGTTGTTGTTGTTGCTGTTATTGTTGTTGTTATTGTTGTTGTTGCTGTTGTTATTGTTGTTGTTGGTGGTGGTGGCCGCGAGCGGGAATGGAACTCGGCTCACAGCCGGGTTCGTAGCCCAGCAAACACACGTGGTGGTGGTGGTGGTGCTGCTGCTGTTGTTGTTGTTGTTGACAAGGGAGAGTTGTTGTTGTTGTTGTGCTGTGCGTGGTTACCGCTGTCACGAATCCAGCAGCGTCCTTAGCGGATGTGTGAGTCGGAGTGTTGCTTGTTATACACACACCACACACACGCCGCGTCATTGTAGTTGTTGTTGTTGTTGACAAGCGAGAGTTGTTGTTGTTGACTAAGGAAAGCAAATCAGGGCACTCCGGTCGCCGTGTATCCACGTGTCTCCGTCTCCCCGTGTCCACATGTCCCTGTGTCTCTGTGTCCACGTGTCTCCCCGTGTCCACAAGTCCCTGTGTCTTTGTGTCCACGTGTCTCCGTGTCCCCGTGTTTCCCCGTGTCCACAAGTTCACGTGTTTCTGTCTCCCCGTGTCTCCCCGTGTCCCTGTGTCTCTGTGTCTCCGTCTCCCCGTGTCTGCGTCTCCCCGTGTCCCCGTGTCTCTGTCTCCCGTGTCCACGTGTCTCCTCGTGTCCCCGGTCTCCATCTCCCCGTGTCCCCGTGTCTCCCCGTGTCCCCGTGTCTCCCCGTGTCCCCGGTCTCCATCTCCCCGTGTCCACGTGTCTCCTCGTGTCCCCGTGTCCCCGGTCTCCATCTCCCCGTGTCCCCGTGTCTCTGTCTCCACGTGTCCACGCCTCCCCGTGTCTCTGTGTCCACGTGTCCCCGGTCTCCATCTCCCCGTGTCCCCGTGTCTCCCTGTGTCCCCGTCTCTCCGTGTCCTCGTGTATCTCCGTGTCCCCGTGTCTCCCCGTGTCTCTGTCTCCCCGTGTCTCTGTCTCCCCGTGTCCCCGTCTCTCCGTGTCCACGTGTCTCCTCGTGTCCCCGTGTCTCTGTCTCTCTGTGTCCACGTGTCTCCCCGTGTCCACGTGTCCCCGTGTCTCTGTGTCTCCGTCTCCCCGTGTCTGTGTCCCCGTGTCTCTGTGTCTCTCTCCCCGTGTCCACGTGTCCCCGTGTCTCTGTCTCCCCGTGTGTCTCCGTATCTCCCAGTGTTCATATCTCCCCCGTGTCTCTGTCTCCCCGCATCTCGCAGTGTCTCTGTCTCTCCGTGTCTCTCTGTGTCTCCCTGCGTACTCCCGGTGCGGGCTTCGTGTTACCCTGCATCTCCCCGTGTCCCTCCCTCTCCCCCCGCGTGTCCCCGTGTGTCTCCCTCCGTGTCTCTGGGTGTCTCCCGTGTGTCTCCCGCTTGTCTCCCCCCGCGTGTCTCCCCCCGCGTGTCCCCGCCGCTTCAGAGGCGGAGAGCGCTCGCGCACAGCAGCGAGCCCGCGGCTGCCAGCCAGGTGAGCGAGGCGCCTCTCTGGATGGAGAGTCCTGGGTCATGGGGAAGGGGCACACACAGACACACACACACACATACACACAGATACACACACAGACACACATACACACAGATACACACATACACACAGACACACATACAGACACACATACACACAGACACACACACACACAGACACACATACAGACACACATACACACACAGACACACATACACACAGACACACACACACACAGACACACACACACAGACACACACACAGACACACACACTTAGAGACACACACACACGCACACACATACAGACATACACATACACAGACACACACACACGCACACACACACAGACACACACACACAGACACACACACACAGACACAGACAGAGACACACATAGACACAGACAAAGCTCCCCCGTGTAGCCTCAACAATCGAACTCGGCCCGCCGGGTCCGTGGCCCAATGCGCCACCGCCAATCGCGGCTCCGGTGAAGAAACTCACAGGGGTTGGTGTCAGGGTCACGGTCAGGGTCAGGGTTCAGGGCGTGGGTCAGGGTCAGGTGAGGGTCAGGGTGAGGGTCAGGGTGAGGGTGTGTGTCTGTGTCGGGGGGTCAGGGTCAAGGTCAGGGTGAGGGTCAGGTGAGGGTGTGTGTCTGTGTCACGGGGTCAGGGTGAGGGTCAGGTGAGGGTGTGTGTCTGTGTCACGGGGTCAGGGTGAGGGTCAGGGTGAGGGTCAGGGTGAGGGTCAGGGTGAGGGTCAGGGTCACGGGGTGTGGCGGTCACCTCCATTGAGAACCGAGGAGCGAATGTCCATCCAGTAGACCTCACGCGACTCGGCTACAGCAGCGCTGAGAGAGACATCGTCATCATCGTCACCATCCCCATCATCATCATTGACCCTTACAATATCATCATCATCCTCATCTCCATCATCATCTAAATCATCATCAACATCGTCCCCATCATCGTCATCATCTCCATCATTATCTCCTCCATCATCTCCATCATCATCATTGACCCTATCATCATCATCTCCATCATCATAATCATAATCATCTCCATCATCATCTCCAGCATCATCATTGACCCTATAATCATCATCATCATCATCATCGTCGTCGTGCCCATCATCGTCATCATCTCCATCATCATCTCCATCATCATCATCTCTATCATCATCTCCATCATCATCATCATCATCTCCATCATCATCATCTCTATCATCATCTCCATCATCATCTAAATCATCATCAACATCGTCCCCATCATCGTCATCATCTCCATCATCATCATCTCCATCATCATCATCATCATTGACCCTTACATCATCATCATCGTCATCATCTCTATCATCATCTCCATCATCATCTCCATCATCATCATCATCATCTCCATCATCATCATCTCCATCATCATCATCTCCATCATCATCATCATCTCCATCATCATCATCATCATTGACCCTTACATCATCATCATCGTCATCATCGTCATCATCTCTATCATCATCTCCATCATCATCTCCATCATCATCATCATCTCCATCATCATCATCTCCATCATCATCATCTCCATCATCATCATCATCATCTCCATCATCATCTCCATCATCATCATCATCTCCATCATCATCTCCATCATCATCATCTCCATCATCGTCTCCATCATCATCTCCATCATCATCATCATCTCCATCATCATCATCTCCATCATCATCATCTCCATCATCATCTAAATCATCATCATCATCTCCATCATTGTCATCATCTCCATCATCATCATCATCTCCATCATCATCATCATCATCTCCATCATCATCATCACCACAATTATCATCATCCTTATCATTATCATCACCACCGTTATCATCATCACCATCATCATCACCATCATCATCACTATCATCATCATCACCACCATCATCACCATCGTCGTCATCATCATCACTATCGTCATTATCATCATCACATCATCATTATCATCATCATCCTCATCATCACCACCACCATCATCATCCATAATAAAAGTATTTTGGGATAGATCACATAAGTATAAATCCACAACATTGACAATTTGAGTAGTCCGACGTTTCGCTGGTAACTTGCATCCAGCATCATCGGGTGATTTGCCAGCATCGGTTAAACGTCACATTCAAGTTGTGAATGTTGTGGATTTACTCTGCAACGCACCAGCTGTGGGTCACTACATTTGGCGCGTTGTTTACGTGACAAGTCCCTTAGGAGCTGTGGATGGGGGAGAGAGATGTGGGTGAATGAGAGAGAGCTGTGGATGAAGGAGAGAGCTGTGGATGAAGGAGGGAGCTGTGGATGAAGGAGGGAGCTGTGGATGAAGGAGGGAGCTATGAATGAAGGAGGGAGCTATGAATGAAGGAGGGAGCTGTGGATGAACGAGAAAGTTGTAGATGAAGGAGAGAGCTGTGGATGAAGGAGAGAGCTGTGGATGAAGGAGAGAGCTGTGGATGAAGGAGAGAGCTGTGGATGAAGGAGAGAAAGTTGTGGATGAAGGAGAGAGCTGTGGATTAAGGAGAGAGCCGTGCATGAAGGAGGGAGAGCTGTGGATGGTTGCACGACAGGTCTTACATGAACATGATGGGCCCGGTGAGGCCTCCTGCCGGCGGGAGCCAGGTGAAGGTCTGATTAATCTTCTCGTTGATGTTTGAGTGAGTCACCGCACTTGCATCTCTGCCGTCACACTGCAAAGACAAAGATCCCCCGTGTAGCCTCAACAGACTGCTGGGGCAAGTGCTGTTAGTAGCGAGTAGCAGGAGCACCTATGAAGGTACACACAGACAAAGGGTCCGCCGTGTAGCCTCAACAGACTGCTGGGGCAAGTGCTGTTAGTAGCGAGTAGCAGCAGCACCTATGAAGGTAGACACAGACAAAGATCCCCCGTGTAGCCTCAACAGACTGCTGGGGCAAGTGCTGTTAGTAGCGAGTAGTAGCAGCACCTATGAAGGTAGACACAGACAAAGATCCCCCGTGTAGCCTCAACAGACTGCTGGGGCAAGTGCTGTTAGTAGCGAGTAGCAGCAGCACCTATGAAGGTAGACACAGACAAAGATCCCCCGTGTAGCCTCAACAGACTGCTGGGGCAAGTGCTGTTAGTAGCGAGTAGCAGCACCTATGAATGTAGACACAGACAAAGATCCCCCGTGTAGCCTCAACAGACTGCTGGGGCAAGTGCTGCCCTATGTAACTCCAACCCTGGCCTCTTGGGTTCTCAACATGATCAGCAGCTGGGACGTGCTTCTCAGTTACAAGAACTCGTTTCTTGTTGTGTTAAAGTTGTTTGTCTTTCCCCCGCACCTTCAATTAGCTCGGGGTGTCTACGTACAGTCGCGAAGGAATTTCAACATTCATACCACTGGTCAACACACTTTTTCTGGCATAAGGTATTTCCAACGGTTTTAATGTGATTTTGGGGTGCTGATTCCAAAGCTGGCATCAGTTTTTGTCTATCACATCAGGTTTTTGAGATATCAAATATTGCATTTTCAATAAAAACTGCGGAAGAAAAATATTAAATAAATGTGGATCTCTACATACAATGATATTATAAACACACTATCCTACAAACACAGCACCGTATTTTAACACTAAAGCAGTCACCGACTCGCAACAACTTGCAATCAGAAGTGACAGAATTAATTTCGGGTAAAATCAATGAAAATGGGGTATGCCTATAGCATAATAAGTATAACCCATAAAAACAAAGTTTTTCACTCTAAATCCTTTATATGCGTGGCGGCTAGAGTCCTCTCGTCCTCTGGCTTGAGATGGCTGCCACCTATGGGTCAGATGATTGTCTGCAGTATTAAACAATTGGTAATTAAATATTTAATTTGTTTTCCCTAAACAGTGTAAAATTTTGGAAAATAAATTTCACGAACATTAATTGTCTCGCACAACGAGTCTGTGTGCAAAATGTCAGCTCGATTGGATCACGAGAAGTGGGTTAAAAAAACGACCGAAAGGTTTGCACGGTCCTAAGCAAGCAAGCAAGCACGCAAGCAAGCGAACTTAATATAAAGGATTTAAAAATGAGATGTGATAGAGCAAATCTGAGATCAGATTTGGAATCAGCACCCTGAAATTAGTCTAGAACAGCTGCAAAAGTCCAGGCCAGAAAAAAATGTTTTAGTTTTTTGTTGACCAGTGTACATGGACCATTGAAACTTTACCAGGTGGCACCACTAAGATGTGGAGCTCTTTTTTGCGAAGCGTCCTGGCCACAAATGATAGCTAAACGAAGTGGCTTGTCGCGTGGAAATTTCCAGCAGTAGCTCAACACTCTCGACGCATGATTCTAAATGTCGAGGGGGAAACCGGAGGACTCGGGAAAAAATTGACGCGACCACGTCAAGAGAGAGAGAGACGCAAACTCCAAAATATGCAGCAGCAGCAGCAGGCAACGTCAGGGTCGGGATCGAACCCACGACCTCCTGCACACCGGGCGAGGTAGTTAACATCTCGCCACTGTGATGATGATGAGAAATAGACACGCAAACTTCAAATATACAGCAGGCATTTCCAGGGTCGGGATCAAACCCACGACCCCCTTGCTCCGGGCGAGGTAGTCAACATCTCCTAACCACAGCATGTAAGGGTTCAAGATCGAACCCACGACCTTCCCGCGCACCGGGCGAGGTAGTCAACATCTCCTAAGCACAGCATGTAAGGGTTCAAGATCGAACCCACGACCTCCCGCGCACCGGGCGAGGTAGTCAACATCTCCTAAGCACAGCATGTAAGGGTTCAAGATCGAACCCACGACCTCCCGCACACCGGGCGAGGTAGTCAACATCTCCTAAGCACAGCATGTCAGGGTTCAAGATCGAACCCACGACCTCCCGCACACCGGGCGAGGTAGTCAACATCTCACCTGTAGAAGACGAGTGTCCCGGGGAAGGCCCTGCCAGGTGCCCATGGGCCGCGTGGCTCCCCCCGGCGTGCGCGCCTGCAGCAGGAGGCCACGGTACACCGGGCCCATCACCCGCACTGGAGCGGCACGGGCAGCAGTTAGAGCAGCAGCAGCAGCAGCAGCAGTGACAGCAACAGCAGCAGTAGTGACAGCAGCAGCAGCAGTGACAGCAGCAGCAGCAGTAGTGACAGCAGCAGCAGCAGTGACAGCAGCAGCAGCAGTAGTAACAGCAGCAGCAGCAGTGACAGCAGCAGCAGCAGTAGTAGTAACAGCAGCAGCAGCAGTGACAGCAGCAGCAGCAGCAGTAGTAACAGCAGCAGCAGCAGTGACAGCAACAGCAGCAGCAGCAGTAGTAACAGCAGCAGCAGCAGTGACAGCAGCAGCAGCAGTAGTGACAGCAGCAGCAGCAGTGACAGCAGCAGCAGCAGTAGTAACAGCAGCAGCAGCAGTGACAGCAACAGCAGCAGCAGTAGTGACAGCAGCAGCAGCAGTGACAGCAGCAGCAGCAGTAGTAACAGCAGCAGCAGCAGTGACAGCAGCAGTAGTAGTAACAGCAGCAGCAGCAGTGACAGCAGCAGCAGCAGCAGTAGTAACAGCAGCAGCAGCAGTGACAGCAACAGCAGCAGCAGCAGTAGTAACAGCAGCAGCAGCAGTGACAGCAGCAGCAGCAGTAGTAACAGCAGCAGCAGCAGTGACAGCAGCAGCAGCAGTAGTAACAGCAGCAGCAGTGACAGCAACAGCAGCAGCAGTAGTGACAGCAGCAGCAGCAGTGACAGCAACAGCAGCAGCAGTAGTGACAGCAGCAGCAGCAGTGACAGCAACAGCAGCAGCAGTAGTAACAGCAGCAGCAACAAGGGCAGCAGCAGCAGTTACAGCAGTCGGGACATCGACATACAAAGACAAAGATCCCCCATATAGCCTTAACAGACTGTAGGGGCAAGTGCTGTTAGCGAGCAGCACCTATGAAGGCCGCAACGGCACACGAGGGGGTGGGTGGCCAGCACCACGCCCGGCCGCCTTTGTCTCCCCAGTGGCGATGTTTACACACCGCACCAGGTACTCATTTGAGGCTGAGTCGACCTAGGGGAGGCCCGGGACCGGTTCACATAATCGTCACTGGTGTTGGCCGTGAGCGAGAATCGAACCCGGGTCTCCGGGTTCATAGCGCAGCGCACAAACCGCTCCCCACACGCACAACAACAACAACAACCGCCATTCGCCACTAAGTGGCGGTGACGTCACCACGACGCTTGTGCCAGGCCAAGTGCTCATTGAGGCCACGTGAAGTGTCGAACGCCCGCTGGCAGGAGGTCACGGGGCAGACCCAGCAGGTGCCACGGGTCGACTGACCGAGATGACCGAGATGACTGGCTGATGCACCACCTGTGCCCCCTACTGTACCAACTTGCTGTGCTTTAGCCACCCGGCGCTCCGCTCGTTGTTGTGAGCGTCGCTCCTCCGCCCTCCGTTGTTGTTGGAGGGCGACTGCCTCCAACTGCCCAGTAGCGTCCTTCACGAGCCTCCTCCACAGAGGCCGATTTTGACACCGCTGGTACCAGTCATCGGCAAGTCCACTCAGCTCCACGTCCTCCTGTACCACATCACTCCATCTCTTCTCTAGCCCGTGCCGCGCCCGTTTTGCCCCCTCGATCCGGCCGAACAAAAGCTGTTTAGGCATGCGGTGGCTGGGCATGCGGGCTACATGACCCAGCCAACGCAGCCTTGCCTGCCGGAGGAGCTCACCGATGGGACTTTGCCCAGATCTTTCAAGGATTTGTGAGCTCCTCACACAATCCAGCCTGGTTAAACCCAGGATGGATCATAGGTAGGCCAGCCTAATACATACACACATACACACATACAACAACCGCCATTCGCCACTAAGTGGCGGTGACGTCACCACGACGCTTGTGCCAGGCCATGTGCACCTTGAGGCCACGTGAAGTTTCGATTTAAAGCTTTCGTGACTGCAGGGATTCATCTTCTTGGTTCTTTCGGTAAAGTCACGTAGAAGGAAAATAATAAAATAATAAAAATAAAACATAATAAAATAATTCTCACGACGTTTCGGCGACAACGCAAGCAGCCGTCTTCAGGTGGAGAACAGGTCTGTCGAGAAGGCAGAGTCTGACTTCTCGACAGAACTGTTCTCCACCTGAAGACGGCCACGTGAAGTGTCGAACGCCCGCTGGCAGGAGGAGGTCACGGGGCAGACCCAGTTGCCACAGGTCGACTGACCGAGATGACCGAGATGACACACACGCACAACAACAACAACCGCCATTCGCCACTAAGTGGCGGTGACGTCACCACGAAGCTTGTGCCAGGCCATGTGCACCTTGAGGCCACGTGAAGTGTCGAACGCCCTCTGGCAGGAGGAGGTCACGGGGCAGACCCAGTTGCCACGGGTCGACTGACCGAGATGACCGAGATGACACACACGCACAACAACAACAACCGCCATTCGCCACTAAGTGGCGGTGACGTCACCACGACGCTTGTGCCAGGCCAAGTGCACCTTGACGCCACGTGAAGTGTCGAACGCCCGCTGGCAGGAGGTCACGGGGCAGACCCAGCAGGTGCCACGGGTCGACTGACCGAGATGACCGAGATGACCGAGATGACACACACGTACACACACATACACACGTACACACACACGTACACACACGCGGGCACCGCACCACCCACCCACCCCCCAACTCACCCGTGAAGGCCATGCTGAGGCTGCCGTTGGTGGCTGAAGCGGTGATGCCGTAGGGAGCTCGCGACGTCTGCGTCCGAACTCCGTCGTGCATGGGCCTCATGGCGACGCACGAGGAAGTAGGAGCTCCCCCGGGGAAGCCGCTGGTCCCCGGGACAAGGCACAGCATGGCGAGCGACGCGGTCCACAGCACGGCAGGGGCCATCGAGCCGTGACGCCTCTAGGTACGCTCCGACGGGGAACGTGGGAACAAACCTAGAGCCCAGGAAACGCGGCAATGGGTGGGGGGTTACTCTAAAGTTCTGTGTGTATCTCCCGTGCGTCGAGACCACTGGTGCTTAATCTTTACTGCAGCCTTTAAACTACACTATACACTGCACTATACACTGCGCTATACACTGCACTATACACTACACTATATACTACTACACTATACACTAATATACATTACACTATACACTGCACTATATACTGGACTATACACTACACTATACACTGGACTATACACTACACAATACACTGGACTATACACTGCGCTATACACTACACTATACACTACACTATACACTGCACTATACACTGCACTATACACTACACTACACACTACACTACACACTACACTATACACTACACTATACACTACACTATACACTGCACTATACACTACACTATACACTGCACTATACACTACACTATACACTACACTATACACTACACTATACACTGCACTATACACTACAATATACACTGCACTATACACTACACTATACACTACACTACACACTACACTATACACTGCACTATACACTGGACTATACACTACTACACTATACACTGCACTATACACTACACTATACACTGCAATATACACTACACTATACACTACACTATACACTACACTATACACTGCACACTGCGCTATACACTGGACTATACACTGGACTATACACTGGACTATACTCTACACTATACACTGCGTTATACACTGGACTATACACTGGACTATACACTGGACTATACACTACACTATACACTACACTATACACTGGACTATACACTGGACTATACACTGCAATATACACTACACTATACACTGCACTATACACTACACTATACACTACACTATACACTACACTATACACTACACTACATACACTATACACTACACTATACACTACTATACACTACACTATACACTGCGCTATACACTATACACTACACTACATACACTATACACTACACTATACACTACACTTTACACTGGACTATACACTGGACTATACACTACTCTTTACACTAAACTACTACACTATACACTGCACTATACCCTACTCTTTATACTACGCTATACACTACTATACACTAAACTATACACTACTATAAACTACTATAGACTATACACTCCTATACACTGCTCTACACTATACACTACTATAAACGGCTGTACACTACTATACACTTCACTATACACTACACTATACACTACACTACACTATACACTACACACTACACTATACACTACACTATACACTACACTATACACTACACTATACACTAATATAAACGGCTGTAGACTACTATACACCACACAATACACTACACTATACACTACACTATACACTGCTATACACTGCTGTACACTACACTATACACTACTATATACTACACTATACACTACTATATACTGCTATACACTACTATACACGACTATATACTACACTATACACCATACACCGCACTATACATCTGCTGTACACTACACTATACACTACACTATACACTACACTATACACTACACTATACACTACACTATACACTACACTACTATACACTGCACTATACACTGCACTGTACACTACACTATACACTACTATACACTACACTGCACTATACACTGCTATACACTACACTATACACTACACTATACACTGCACTATACACTGCAATATACACTGCACTATACACTACACTATACACTGCACTATACACTACACTATACACTGGACTATACACTGGACTATACACTACGCTATACACTGCGCTATACACTGGACTATACACTGGACTATACACTGGACTATACACTGGACTATACACTACACTATACACTGCACTATACACTGCACTATACACTGGACTATACACTACACTATACACTACTACACTATATACTGCACTATACACTGGACTATACAGTATACTATACACTACACTATACACTACACTATACACTACTACACTATACACTACTACACTACACTATACACTACTACACTACACTATACACTACTACACTATATACTACACTATACACCATACACCGCACTATACACTGCTGTACACTACACTATACACGACACCAGCAGTTCTTAACGTTTGGTTCTCAAAGGGGTGGCGTGCACCCAACGTTAAGACGAACCACTCTTCAGGATTATTTGACGATCAAATTATCTCACAAACAAATCTACTTATGTACAAATACAAATCGACGTTTGAACAAATCGAATTGCAAACAAATCTACTTACGATCAAATTGTCTCACAAACAAATCGACTTACGAACAAATCGACTTACGAACAAATCGACTCGTGAACAAATCGACTTACGAACAAATCGACTTACGAACAAATCGACTCACAAACAAATCGACTTACGAACAAATCGACTCGTGAACAAATCGACTTACGAACAAATCGACTTACGAACAAATCGACTCACAAACAAATCGACTTACGAACAAATCAACTTACGAACAAATCGACTTACGAACAAATCGACTTACGAACAAATCGACTTACGAACAAATCGACTTACGAACAAATCGACTCACAAACAAATCGACTTACGAACAAATCGACTTACGAACAAATCGACTTACGAACAAATCGACTTACGAACAAATCGACTCACAAACAAATCGACTTACGAACAAATCAACTTACGAACAAATCGACTCACAAACAAATCGACTTACGAACAAATCGACTTACGAACAAATCGACTCACAAATAAATCGACTTACGAACAAATCGACTTACGAACAAATCGACTCACAAACAAATCGACTTACGAACAAATCGACTTACGAACAAATTGACTTACGAACAAACCGACTTACGAACAAATCGACTTACGAACAAATCGACTTACGAACAAATCGTCTCACAAACAAATCGACTTACGATCAAATTGTCTCACAAACAAATCGACTTATGGACAAATCCACTGATGAACAAACCGACTTACGAACAAATCGACTTACTAACAAACCGATTCGCGAACAAATCGACTCACGAACAAATCCACTTATGAACAAGTCAACTTATGAACAAATCGATTAAGAAGAAATCGACTCACGAACACATCGACTCACGAACAAATCCACTTATGAACAAGTCAACTTATGAACAAATCGATTAAGAAGAAATCGACTCACGAACACATCGACTCACGAACAGACGTTTGGAACCGAACTCGTTCGTGCTTAGAGAAGTCCCCGGTATTGAAATTTGTTGTTGTGAACGTTCTTACCCCGTGCCTCCTACTGAACCATTTGTGAACTAAGAGCTTTATAGCTCATCGGATTCCTCCTCCTCCTCCTACAGTAGAAATAACACCGATTCTGGCGTTGAGCAGCTGTGAAGGCCGGGCTCGGTGCCACTTTCCCCAAAAGTCTCTGAAGGCTATGCGGGGGATCTTTGCCTTTGTGCCTGGTGTGTGTGTGTTACGCTACTAAAAGCACTTGCCCCGACAGCCTGGTAATTAATACAGCGAGTTGGACGTTTGTCTTTTTGGAGATGGCGGTGGTGGTGGTGATGGTGGTGATGGGAGTCGATTGGTGGTGGTGATGGTGGTGATGCTGGTGATGGTTGTGGTGGTGATGGTGGTGATGGTGGTGGTGATGGTGGTGGTGGCGGTGGTGATGGTGGTGATGGTGGTGATGGTGGTGATGATGGTGATGGTGGTGATGGTGGTGATGGTGATGGTGGTGATGGTGGTGGTGATGGTGGTGGTGATGGTGGTGGTGATGGTGGTGGTGATGATGGTGATGGTGGTGATGGTGATGGTGGTGGTGATGATGGTGATGGTGGTGATGGTGGTGGTGATGGTGGTGATGGTGATGGTGGTGATGGTGATGGCGGTGGTGGTGATGGTGGTGATGGTGGTGGTGGTGATGTTGGTGATGGGAGTCGATTGGTGGTGGTGATGGTGGTGATGGTGGTGATGGTTGTGGTGGTGATGGTGGTGGTGGCGGTGGTGATGGTGGTGATGGTGATGGTGGTGATGGTGATGGTGGTGATGGTTGTGGTGGTGATGGTGGTGATGGTGGTGGTGGCGGTGGTGATGGTGGTGATGGCGGTGATGATGGTGGTGGTGGTGATGGTGGTGATGGTGGTGGTGGTGATGGCGGTGATGGTGATGGCGGTGATGGTGGTGGTGATGGTGGTGATGGGAGACGCGAGGTGAGGCCAGGTGAGAAAGAGAGAGGGAGGGAGAGGTCACGACCCCTGTGCAGGTGCGGGGAACAAGCCGAGAACACAACGTCACCTGACCCCCCCCATTCACCCCCCCCCGATTCACCCCCCCCATTCACCCCCCCCCATTCACACCCCCCCACCTCCCATTCTCTTCCTGCCCCCCACCCATTCCTCGCCTTCTCTGCTCCCCCAATTCACCCCTCCACCCATTCAACACTCCACATTCCCCACTCCCCATAGTGTATAGTGCTAATTGGAGTTCCTGAGTGTTGAGTCTATGATGCAGTGTTGAGTCTATGGGCAGTGTTGAGTCTATGGGCAGTGTTGAGTCTATGGGCAGTGTTGAGTCTATGGGCAGTGTTGAGTCTATGGGGCAGTGTTTGAGTCTATGGGGCAGTGTTGAGTCTATGGGCAGTGTTGAGTCTATGGGCAGTGTTGAGTCTATGGGCAGTGTTGAGTCTATGGGCAGTGTTGAGTCTATGGGCAGTGTTGAGTCTATGGGCAGTGTTGAGTCTATGGGCAGTGTTGAGTCTATGGGCAGTGTGAGTCTATGGCAGTGTTGAGTCTATGGGCAGTGTTGAGTCTATGGGCAGTGTTGAGTCTATGGGCAGTGTTGAGTCTATGGGCAGTGTTGAGTCTATGGGGTGTTGAGTCTATGGGCAGTGTTGAGTCTATGGGCAGTGTTGAGTCTATGGGCAGTGTTGAGTCTATGGCAGTGTTGAGTCTATGGGCAGTGTTGAGTCTATGGGCAGTGTTGAGTCTATGGGCAGTGTTGAGTCTATGGGCAGTGTTGAGTCTATGGGCAGTGTTGAGTCTATGGGCAGTGTTGAGTCTATGGGCAGTGTTGAGTCTATGGGCAGTGTTGAGTCTATGGGCAGTGTTGAGT